ACTGAGGATAAGGCAGAGAAATACATGGACAGAGTAATTATATGCCCCTTTGAAGAGTAGAACATTTTACCTAGAAAAATATATGGGCAAAAATATTTGTCAGCACAGCTGGAATAAAATGTTCCATTTTAAATCATTCAACCAAATAGGGTTTTTTCATTATTCTTTAGAGAAAAATATTTTGGAAAAAAAATCAGTTTTCCAAAGAAAACTTTGGAAGTTTGTTTGTAAAATATTATAATTAAATTATCCTTAAACAAACCTAAACTTGTTTTGCTCCTAATTTTTAACTGAAGCTGTTCACAGAGGTTAATTGTATTAAAGCTGCATCTTTTGGCACCAAAACACATGCACCCATTGTGTGTCAATAAGGAACAGGAGGTGAACTTAAACCATGCAAAGAGGCCCAGTCCAGTTTCCTAAAGGTTTGTGGAGATCCTAGACATACTGATAGGGTTCCTGCTGGGATTTTCAGACTTACAGTGGGTGATCAGTTCCCACTGGTCTAAACCAAAGAAAACAGAAGTGAAAAAGAGATCATCTCACCTGGTCCTGCTTTGCTGTTGCCTGTGTGATGATTACCACAATTACACCAACATGCTTACATGGCCTTTGAAAGAATTACCCAGGTGGCTGATACTGCTTTTATCTCCAAAGCACAGTGCTGGGAGGAGCTCTGAAAACACCTTCATTGGGTATCACTAAAGAGTCGCTGGCCAAGATCCAGCCTGGAACAACCTCTTGGTCAGTTTGGACCACTCCACTTACAGGTGGTCTGACTGATCCAGAAGCTTTATGGAGCTGTGGTGTGAGAGTGGGTCTGTGATTGCAGGTGGGTCTCATTTACACATCAGGCTGGCTGGCATCACATAGTTCATTTAGTGTAAAGCAGCTTGTGGACTGTTCTGTGTTGTGCTAAAAACATAGGCGAGAGTAAGTTCACGTCTCTTAGAGAAAAAAGGACTTCAGGCTACTTTTGCAGCCTCCATTTGGGGCATGTAATCTTTGGCTGACACCACAGAGGGGGGCCGTTGTCTTTTGGAGCATATGAGTGGCTGCGGGTATGTGAAGGTCATTCAGCTGGGGAAGCAGCTGGGCTGCCATTCACAATGTTTCCTTAGACAACTGTAACAGATGCAGCAAAAAACTGTCCCGTCAACAAGAATGGGAGGTATACACAGTACGTAAATAACTTTCCCATGCAGATGTCTTCCTAGTGATCTAACTGAAAATAGAAGACTCTGAAGGGAAAAAGCTCAAGTACAGCAGAGCATGATGCTCCATGGGGATTCAGCCTTGTCAGAGTACTACAGGGATAGACAGTGTGATCCGGAAATTCCTTCTGTTCTTTCGTTACCCATGCTTTATTGGTATTCTTCTTCCTATAGATTTCCAGGTATACTTTGCAACAAATCATATATTACTGAAGCTAAGGGCACTGCTGCAGTCAGAGGGCTTAGTAAAAGTAGAAGTGGCTAAGGGCAAAAGTCAATGGTGAAATGTGAACCCACAACACAAAAAGGCAGTGGAAAAGCCGGAAAAAAAGCATGTAGCTGCAGGCAGGAGGAAGAACAGAGCAGCTCTTTAGTAAGAAGTTATTGAAGAAATCACTCCCTCATAAACATATTGTTTATTCAGCTGCAGAGATGAGAAAGCACATCAGTAGGAGGCAGTGAGCTGGAAGCCACTGAGTTTTTGCACTGATGTGAATCACAGGACCACAGCATGGATAGGTGACCTCTGAGGATCACCTGGTCCAGCCCTCCTGCCCAAAGCAGGGTCAGCTGCAGGCAGGTTGCTTAGATCAATGCATGGACATTGCACAGACTCTCTGGGCAACCTGTGCCAGTGTTTGACTACCCTCCCAGTGAAATGTTTTCTTATGTTTAGATGGAATTTCATGTGTTTCAGTTTGTGTCTATTGCATCTTTTCCTGTCTTTGGCCAGCACTGAGAAGACCCTGTCTCCCTCTTCTTCCTCCCTCCCATGAAGTATTTATAAATACTGATGAGATCCTCCTGAGTCTTCTCTAGATTAAACAGGCCCACCTCTCTCAGCTTGTAGGAGAGATGCTCCAGTCCCTTTATCATAGTAGCCCTGTACTGAGCTTACTACTGTAGCTCCACACCTCTTGTGCTGGGGATCCCAGAACCGGACACAGCAATCCAGGTGTACCACCAGTGCTGAGCAGTGGAAAGAATCACCTCCCTCAGCCTACTGGAAGTGCTCCATCTAATGCAGCCCTGGATGCTCGTGGTCTTTGCAGCTAGAGTGTGCTGATGGCTGGTGTTCAATCTTGTGTCCACCAGGACTTCCAGGTCCTTCTCTGCAGAGCTATTTTGCAGTTGGTCAGCCACAGCTTGCACTGGTGCCTGAGGTTATTTCTGCTCAGGGGCAGGATTATGCATTTTCCCTTGTTGGACTTTATGAGATTCCTCTCTGCCCATTTCTCTCCAACCTATCCAGATCTGTTTGGTGTGTGAGTGACAGCAAGAAGGGGAAAGAAAGAGAGAAATTAAAGATATATTTTATGAAACAGAGAATCTAATCTGTTTTTGAGTTTACCATGGTGGAGAATCCCTACAATAGGATAGGGTAGTATAGAATAGAATAAAAAATTCAGTTGGAAGGTATCTTACAGGGATCATCCAGTTCAACTGTCTGACCACTTCAGGACTGATCAGAAGTTAGAGCATGTTGTTAAGGGCATTGTCCAAATGCCTCTTAAATACTGACAGCCTTGGGATATTGGCCACCTTTCCAGAAAGCCTGTTCTAGTGCTCTCAAGTTAACTCAAGCTCATGATCTCAAGTTGGTTGAGTTTTTTTATGTCCTCTTTTTGTTCTAGAAGATCTAATACTTAGTAAACCTTGAAAATGCTATGGTGCTTTTTGACTGTGGCTTCTTGTGATGCTATTCTGTTGGATCCAACTTGGTTCTACTCAAATCTGTCCTGATGAGAACAGGTACGACTCAGCTGATATTATGATGAGTGTACAGTCCCATATGTCACTGCAGAGTGGGGAAAAAAAAAACAACAATAGCATGTAGTAAACTACAAAGCAAAATCAAATATGTGGTTGCAGTTACCTTTGCTACTTTGTGCAGTCTGAAAAATGCTTTTTGCTCTTGTGAAGTTTGACAAGTTACCGAACAAAGCTGATGGGTTTTCAACACCCTGCATTTAATATTAAATGTCTTGTATCTGCAAGCATAAACTAGTAATGGGAAACATATCGCTGGGAACAAATACCCATCTCAACCTGTGGTCTCATCTCTGCTTTTGATTAAATTCCTGCATTTGCAGCAAAGGAAGCAACAAATTTACAACTTTGTCAGTAAGAGAAGATAGTTGAAGAGTTGCTCTATCTATCTTGATTTACAGTTCATTTATTTTTATCTACCAGTCAACACACAAATACATTCAGCTACAGGTTTGGTATTTGTAAGAGCTTTCAGAAATGAAACAATCTTTTCTGATCCCTTTTAAATAGTTAACTCTTTCCCCACTTTTCATCAATTACAGTGAAAAGTGACTTACAAGAAATTTTTATCTAGATAAATAAAAGATTCCAGGGACTAAATATATTGCTCAAACCATTTTGGCTCAGAGAACCTGCAGGCTTAAGGTCTGTATTAGTGTCATGGTTTAAAACCAGTCAGCCAGCTTGTTCACTCACTCCCCCCCTTCTTTCCCTCCCCCTACTCCCGGAGGGATGGAGAGGAGAATCGAAAAGAATGCAACTCCCACGGGTTGAGATAAGAACAGTTTAGTAACTAAGGTATAACACAAATCACTACTGCTACCACCAATGATAACAATGATAAAGGAAATAACAAGGGAAGAGAATACAACACCTCGGCACCAGCCAACCAATAACTCGCCCCCCCAGCCCGACCAAGCACTGACCAATACCTCGTCCAACCCTGCAGTCTCCCAGCCCTTCCGGCTAACTCCCAGTTACATCCTGGGCATGACATGCTGTGGTATGGAATACCTCTTTGGTCAGTTTGGGTCAGGTGTCCTGTCTCTGCTTTCTCCCGGCTTCCCCTCCTCCCTGGCAGAGCATGAGGCTCACAAAGTCCTTGGCCAGACCAAAACATCATTGTTATCAGCTCTGTTCCCAGGCTGAAAGTCAAAACACAGCACTGCACCAGCTACTAAGAAGGAGAAAAAATGACTGCTACTGCTGAACCCAGGAAGCCAGCAAGCTCTCTAACCTTTGTGAGGAGCTATTCATCACCATAAGTCATTACACCTACCAGATGTAGGTTCACTTTTAAAAATAGTGAACACCAACTCTGGCATCATCTGTGTGTTTTTTGGCACTGAGCAGGTGCCCTTCTAATGATTATATTCACACCAGGTTTTCCAAATGTGGGGCTGCAGTCCTAACAGGTCACACTTGTCCATTCAAGTAATTTCTTTGGTCGTTTGGATTTAATTCTCAGCTGCCCACAGCTTCCTGTTCACAATGCTGCTAGTTATTGTATTGCAGAAAATTAGTGTTGGGCTACATTTTGAGCAGGAGGAAAGCCACTGCCTTTTTCATCCCCATCTCTTCCTATCCTCTGCAGGTACACCTTGCACCTCCTGAGGGTCAGAGCACAGGTTTGCCTTGCCATTACACAGATCCTCATGTTTCCCCCTCACCCCAGTATGTGAAACTACAGGACAAAATCTGGCTGAGGAAGTCCTCACCAAGTGCAGGCAATTTCTGTCCCTGCTGGCACTGATCACTTAAGTAAAAAACATTTTGCACATAAAGGACAGTTTAGGAGCTATTCAGTTGCTAGCTGTGGGTGTCATATGCAGACCTTTTAAAAGAAAGCACTGTTTTGTACTGGTATCCAGTATGAACAAGCTACAGATTCAGTGAAGGATGTGAAGGAGTTATGTGATATTTATGATACAGCAGCAAAAGCTGCCCTCTGGAGGAACAAGTCATTAGGCAAATGATACACAACAGGCTCCAAGAATACCTCCACACATTCAGCAGTGAGAGTCATTATTGCAGTTGCTTTACTAAGTTAACCAGAGATTCAAAAACTGAAATACAGACTTTATACACAATGAGTTAGGAGTATGAATAAACAAAAGCAACATTCAAGAAATGGATTTTATAAACATCAAGAAATACTGTAAAAGACTTGAAAATTAAAAACCAAACAAATACCAACAACTTTAAATTGTCCTAATATTTATAATTTAAGCAGTGTTTTTTCGTATACTTTTGCAATAGGGATTTCATCCAGAAGTCCTTATCTAATTAAAAAAGGAAAAAGAAAAGTAGTGACCATGTTACTGATACAAAACCAGCTAAGGGGGTCAAAACTACAGCAGAAAAATGACACATTCAGTTAGAACCGTATTACAATTTGGAAGGAATACTTGTAATGAACACCATATATGTGTGAGAAAAAGACAGCATCACTATTGCAGGCATAAAACAATGAACAAATGTCATTATCCATTGTCCAGAATGAAAAAGAACATTAGTAAAAGGGGAAATGCACACTAGAAAAGGAAAGAAAAAAACCCTATGGAAACTTTGAAAGCCATCTCCTCATAATAGTCTTCTAAGGCAAATGTTGCATGCACTACCTTCCCAAGAAACTGGGCAAAGCTCTTCCATTCACTGTATGTTTCCTTCCATTTAGTTTCATGAAGAAAGGTTTGAGAGAGCAGAGTGCTGGGAAGAAATACTACAAACCTCTAAATTAGTGAAAGAGCTTCCAGCATCACTATTATATTCTGGGTAGGAGGAACTGGAAGAAATTATGTTTTTCAACCTCTGAAGTGCAATGATCAATAGCAAAAGGAGAAAAGCTAACAGACTAAGGAATATTGAAACATAGACATAGACATTGGATAAACGGCCAGGTGATGAATCCACTGAAGTTGAAAGGGATGTGGGATATAGCTCCAGAAAAGTCCCATTTTCCATGTTTCCTACAAATCCAGATGAAGGGTCGGGTTCTGACATTTTGGGGTTTGTGTTTCAAAAATCACAACAGATCTTGGATTCAAAGGTAGTTTTAGCAGCATAACAGAGGGTTTATTTTAGGCAACCATTTGTCCATCACTACAAAGAGATAACAGGTCAGCCAGTGATCAGATTTATCCTTTACTGCTCCAGTCCAGGACAATGTGAGATTGTATCCTTCAGAACTGCAAGGGAGAGAAAAAATAAAATAAAATAAAAAAAACAAGATTAATTTACTAGCAGATAATGTGATTTAATGTGTATCTGATACAGTCTAGTTCTTAAGTTACAAGTTACTCCTTAGCATTAAGCTGCGATTCTTAAAGCATTAGGTAACAAATATCTTTATATCTCTATTTTCCAAAATGCAGGGATTAGGAGAAGTCCTACCCATCAATTAATTCAAATTCCCCACCACAAGTTGTTTAACTGAGCAATGGCACAATAAAAATGTACTTTATATGGGACAGACATATTGGAATCCAAATCTATCTTGTGGAAAAAACCTCGTCAAGGAACGAAAACTCCCTTTGGCACTGAACAGCTGCCCTTCTAATGATTATATTCATACCAGGCTTCTCAACCTAGATGAGCAAGGCTGATCAACACCATGATGAATGACAAATCCATTAGCCACTTACTCCATACTGTCTTGCCAGAGGTACTCAGAATGAGAAAATCTGCCAGACCTGCTTTCTTGCCATATATTTATAAAATGGATCAAATGGTTTTAAAGATCAAAATACATCTTGCTGTAATGGTGCTGTGGGGATCTCAATAGCAGGCATGTTTCAACGAAGTGTTGCAGCTGCTGAGACCTATATCCCAAGGGAATGGACAGCCCTGGCAGCTCAACATATGCAAGGGGACTACCTAAGGGCAGCAAATGGGGAAGAGATCCCATCTGTGAAAAAGTTTTGCCTCCAGCCACTTTGTGTTGGGATCTGGAAGCTCAGGTGCTGGCAAAGGTCAAAGTGGCACAGGACAAGCAGATCATGGTATACTAACCTGCTTTGTGTTTTGTTTAAAAATGTAGTCAGTCCCCAGGTGCAGCCTGGAAGTGTAAGAGAAGGCTTGATGATGGGGAACTGCTTGTAAAAAGCTGACATGCTGAAGCTGAATTACATGGTGCCACCCCTTGCCTTTGTTTTGATAGAAAACAGATAATGCAGGGTGCAAGTGGATAAGAAATGAAGCTCATTTTCTGCATATAATCATGCACATTCAATCTTTCAATCCATCCATCCATGGCCAACCTCTAACTGCAGATACTCAGGCACCACAAGGAAAGGCAGTGAGCTTTCCTCCTAAAAGGAAGACAATATCCATTCCCAGTGTGGTCCCTCTCATCCTGACCTTGCTTTCAGCCTCATCCTGTGGTCCCAGTTCAATACAATTGTCTCTAACTCACCGTTAGAAGCTTTGAGGAAAATCCTACTGATTTTTATGTTGATAGAGAAAGCAAATAATGTCAGCATCAGTCAGAGACAAAATCAGGCCCTTGGAAGTAATGATGCAACAGTCTGGGGTCTCTCCTTGTTTGTCACACAACTGCTCAAATATCTCTCTGTGTTTCCATGAGTTTCTCAGCACTGTTCCTGGCAATGGTCTGCTTACAATTTTCCCTTTAAACACACTACCTCTGCTAACTCAGTAAAGTACTTCTTTCTTCAAGAAGCTGACATCTTTTGACATATGATGTAACTATAAAAACCCCAACCTGAACTCAAGATGCTTAAGAAGGATAAGGTACTTTTCTGCTGGTACTGTTTCTCCTCTGTGAACACAAAAGTCTTGAAGACACCCTGAGAAAAAAGCTAAGAAGTTTGCTTTGCAGCCACTGAAGTTGCATAGCTATCCACTGTACTTTTGCACTGTAATTTACATTTAGGATGTTATGCTATATGCCACAAAAAGCCCAAAGTGCCTGAGGAAACAAGGACTACAATAAGTGGTAGGTAGAACCTGATTCTACATTTTTAAACCCTACTTTTACTTTCTATACCTCAGAACTACATCTAACAGGCTGTTACAGACCACCAGATCAGGGTGAGGAAGTTGACGAGGCCTTCTACAGGCAGCTGAGAGCAGCCTCACAGTCACAGGCCATGGTCGTCGTGGGGGATTTTAACTTCCCTGATGTTTGCTGGAGGGACCACTCGGCAACCCAGCCGCAGGCCAGGAGGTTCCTCCAGTGTGTGGATGATAACTTCCTCCTGCAAATGGTGGATGAGCCGACCAGGAGAGGAGCGCTGCTGGATCTCATCCTCACTAACAAGGAGGGTCTGGTTGAAGCAGTAAGGGTTGAGGGCTGCCTTGGTTGCAGCGACCACGAGATGGTGGAGTTCAGGATCTTGTGTGGTAGGACCAGTAGAATAGCAAGTAGAATTGCAACCCTGGACTTTGGCAGGGCAAACTTTGGCCTTTTCAAGCAATTGCTAGGGGAAATCCCATGGGCAAGGCTGCTTGAAGGTAAAGGGGCCCAAGATAGTTGGTTGGCATTCAAGGATTGCTTTTTCCAAGCTCAAGATCAGAGCATCCCGACACATAGGAAGTCAAGGAAGAGGGCCAGGAGACCTGCGTGGCTAAATAGGGAATTGCTGGGTATGCTCAAGTGGAAGAGAAGAGTTTACAGGTCATGGAAGGAGGGGCTGGCCACTTGGGAGGAATATAAGTCTGCTGCTAGAGGATGTAGGAAGGCAGCTAGGATGACTAAGGGCTCCTTAGAATTAAATCTGGCAAGAGGGGTCAAGGACAGCAGAAAGAGCTTTTTCAAATACATGGCAGACAAAACTAACACCAGAGGCAATGCAGGCCCACTGATGAACGGGATGGGTGCCCTGGTGACAGAAGATACAGAGATGGCAGAGTTACTGAATGCCTTCTTTGTCTCTGTCTACTCTGCTGCAGGCAGTCCTGAAGAGCCCTGTACCTCTGAGACCTCAGATGAAGTCAGGTCAATGGAGCGGTTTGCCTTACTCGATGAGGAATGGGTTAGAGGCCAGTTGAGCAATCTGGACATCCATAAATCCATGGGTCCAGATGGGATGCACCCACGGGTGCTGAGGGAACTGGCGGAAGTCATTGCTAGACCACTCTCCATCATCTTTACCAAGTCTTGGGAAACGGGAGAGGTGCCTGAGGACTGGAGGAAGGCAAATGTCACTCCAGTCTTCAAAAAGGGCAAGAAGGAGGACCCGGGTAACTACAGACCGGTCAGCCTCACCTCCATCCCTGGGAAAGTGATGGAACACCTTGTCCTTGGTGCCATCTTAAGGCACATCAAGGATAAGAGGGTTATGAGGGGCAGTCAACATGGCTTCACCAGGGGGAAATCATGTTTGACCAATCTCTTAGACTTTTATGAGGAAATAACACGGTGGATGGATGATGGCAGAGCGGTGGATGTGGTCTACCTTGACTTCAGCAAAGCATATGACACAGTCTCCCACAGCATCCTCACAGCTAAATTGAGGAAGTGTGGTCTGGATGACCAGGTAGTGAGGTGGACTGCGAACTGGCTGAAGGAGAGAAGCCAGAGAGTTGTAGTCTATGGGGCGGAGTCTAGTTGGAGGCCTGTAACTAGTGGAGTGCCTCAAGGGTCAGTACTGGGACCAGTATTATTTAATATATTCATCAACGATTTAGATGAGGGAATTGAGTGTACTATCAGCAAGTTTGCTGATGACACTAAGCTGGGAGGAGTGGCTGACACGCCAGAAGGCTGTGCTGCCATCCAGCGAGACCTGGACAGGCTGGAGAGTTGGGCAGGGAATAACGGGATGAAATATAACAAGGGGAAGTGTAGAGTCCTGCATCTGGGCAGGAACAACCCCAGGTTCCAGTATAGGTTGGGGAACGACCTGTTAGAGAGCAGTGTAGGGGAGAGGGACCTGGGGGTCCTAGTGGACGACAGGATGACCATGAGCCAACACTGTGCCCTTGTGGCCAAGAAGGCCAATGTCAGCCTGGGGTGTATTAGAAGGAGGTGGTTAGTAGGTCGAGAGAGGTCCTCCTTCCCCTCTACTCTGCCCTGATGAGACCGCATCTGGAATATTGTGTCCAGTTCTGGGCCCCTCAGTTCAAGAAGGACAGGGAGCTGCTGGAGAGAGTCCAGCGCAGGGCAACTAAGATGATTAAGGGAGTGGAGCATCTCCCTTATGAGGAAAGACTGAGGGAGCTGGGTCTCTATAGTTTGGAGGAGACTGAGGGGTGACCTTATTAGTGTATATAAATATATAAGGGGGAGTGTCACGAGGATGGAGCCAGGCTCTACTCAGTGGCAAACAATGATAGGACAAGGGGTAATGGGTACAAACTGGAACACAAGAGGTTCCACTTAAACTTGAGAAGAAACTTCTTCTCAGTGAGGGTGACGGAACACTGGAACAGGCTGCCCAGGGAGGTTGTGGAGTCTCCTTCCCTGGAGACATTCAAAACCCGCCTGGACACATTCCTGTGTAACATTATCTAGGCGTTCCTGCTCCAGCAGGGGGATTGGACTAGACGATCTTCTGAGGTCCCTTCCAATCTCTAGCATACTGTGATACTGTGAACTACATCTATACTACTACATAAAACAGGTCAAGGCTATTTTCTGATCTTGAGGACAACCTGTGCTGCATCAAGATGACTAAACTCCCTTTTATCCCTGTGGACAGGCTGGCCAAATCACAGCTGCCTTTGGGAATGAATAACGGCCAGTTGTAACCCCACATATGTCCAGGCATTGCTTGGAGGATGCTTGCTGGCCAAAACCATGCCAGGAGGTGTGCTTGCTAATTCAACAGGAGAGATGAAGACAGACAGGCTTATGCCTTGGCCTGGATTAATTTACTAGCACATACCCATCTGTAATGTTTTCATGCATAAAAGGTTACATTCCAGATGTTGTTTCTATCTTTCATTAATTGCATTGATTGTTTTACTGTGGAGCTTACACACCACCACCCCAATAGCTTACAAGATACGCAGGAGTACAAAATTGCATCTACAAACACCAGATAAAAAAATTCTTACTCTTGTGGTAACTCATACTGATGCAGAAAATATACTAAACCAAAACCATCTTATAGCCCTAATAGTATTTAGCCCCACAAGAAACAGTATTTATTGTACTTTGTGAAGTAAGTCACAACAGACTGAACAAAGAGATCCTTATGAGATTATATTCCTTTTGAACTGTCTTTAATTCAGGGACCCAAAATTAACTAATGGAACAATACATGTTCATTTCACGTTCTGGAAGTAGTTAAGTGCATTATAGCTAATTTATCCTTTCTAAAAGATAAGCTTTGATATAGAAGATGCTTATCCTTGATTACTCATCATAATGAAAAGCAGAACCATTATTAATTGAATTGCTCTATAATAACTTAAGGAATTAATTCACATAAATTCTTTAACATGGCAGAAGTTAAAAGCCTTTAAATTCTTCACAAATTTGAAATCTGCTAAGTTCTTCTTTTCCCATTAACAGTTTTGGCCCTGGTACAAGGAAGAACTTTGGCATGGGTCTTTCTTTGAAGTCAGTGGGAAATTTATGGTCTTGAATAGAACTAATCAGAACCTCACAGTTAAGCAGAGATGTGTTTTGCTAGACGAGAGCCTTTATAGGTCTTACAATGTCAACAGGGCTATTTTTAACCAAGTATTTTGTATTGAGAATAGAGACACTAAAACTCGGATTCCAAATGACTATGGTCCAGATCCTAGTTGCCTCACTCACAGTGTGTACTGACATGAGGTGTAAATGAATCTCACCACAAAATGTAGCTTCAGCTAAAGTGGCTCTTAGGGTAATATTTTCAGGAAGATGAAAAAAAAAAATCTGTGATGTTTTAATCACACATCTAAAAATACAGACCTAAAGTGTAAGGTCCTACTCATTTTAAAAGGTTTTTACCAACCATCTGTACCCTGTTGGAGTAAACAGCAAAATCATACAGAGTGTGAACATATCTGGTCCTGACATCTGAGTAGTATTCATAGGGAAGGTACAAAACACATACAGAAAGAAAATGGATCTGATCATGATGATGTTCCCTGGTGCTGTTCCAACACTTCAATCCTGATGGAGAGCAGCCAGGATAGCTCAGCCAGTGATGTGGGGTACGGGTGCAAATGCTGGACCAAAACTCCACTACAAAGTCCTAGGGCTGCATCAACCTCTGCCATGCTGCAAATCAGACCTCTCAGCTTCTAGGAGTGGGATCCACAAGTAGTTTTGTTCAGTGGACCATTGCTATTCTTTGGCTCAGGTTCCTGCTTCTGCTGGGAGAAAGTAAGTAGCATGTATCATTTATCTCTCTTATCCTAATCCTCCCAAAGGAATATCCCCCAATAAAGCCAGATGTCAGCCTCACCTTCTGTTCTGGCAATTGGTTTTGTGCATTTCTGAAAACTAAACAGAACAACATCATAACATCTAGCCCAAACCTGGTCCCAAAAAATGACTGGGGATTTTGTCACTGACTTCGAAGTATGATGGCAAAACAAAGTGGCTTACTACAATAAACCCGTTGTCTTTCTAGGAGCCATAAACTGATCAAGGAATTCAACTGAGGAGCCAAAGCTTTCAAATTCTGTAGTAGTCTGTACCTTTCACTCATCTGTTGTTGGAAAGCTGAACTGGTTTAAGGCGAAGACTGAATTTAAAGTGATGTTGCGAAATGACTGGAGGTGGAGAGGAAGTCTGATGGGAGAAGGCTTCCCAAATAGCCAATCCTGCAAACTCTTGGGACAGGAGAACTGGGACCTGTCTGCTGGGGGACTCAGATTTTGTGGGGTAGCTGGATCTGCATTAGAGAGCTGTATCTCAGAGACACCTCTGCAATCAAAAGACAGGGATGCACAACTTGAGACTTCCTGAGTTATCAAGTCAAGTCCAACCCCACTGCTGAAAGTCCCAGGTCACGATCTGCCTTTCTGACACTGGATGAGTTTTCTTGCTGCTGTTATTCCACTACTCAGCCTTGCTGCTCTGATGGGCAAACTGCTTAGAAAGATTCACACACTTCAGTAAAACAACTCACTGTACCAAGGCGGCACAGACTCCACCACCACACTCTGCTGGGTTTAGATGTGCAAGAGTGCAAAACCTTGTTCTGCTTCTTTAGTCCCCAAATATGACAGCTGGCACACAAGGAGAGGGCCTGCTACACACATGGTGTCATTTGTACATCCTCACTTTTCTACCAGAAGCACTACTGTATTTTCTTCCAGCTGTGCATTTTTCTTCCATTCATGTCCTCAGTATAAATCAGTTTTTCACAGGTGAGGACAACCACCCTTATTCCAAGGGTAGGGCTACCTAGAAGATACTGTAGGCAGCTTCAATTGGAGTTTTCCATTTTCTCTTTTATCATACGTAAGAAGGAGACAGGCAAATTGGCATTCACCAAAGCAGGGCAAACTGGTAAGGGATTAAGTGAGCCATCACTACGTAAGAGGTAAATCCCAGGTAATGAGTAGTATCAGTCTGGGTAGCCATGCCAAAGCTATCCACTGTCTGAAACTTTGATGGCACCTGTTATAAAACCTATTTTTTTCAGAAAATGGAAATGTGCTCAGGAGCAGAGACCTCATCAATTAGCATATGCCCTAGGTGCCAAATTATATGTAGTATATGTAATTCAGTGTTGAGCATTGCTGAGACACTAGTCATCTCCCAGTTCAGTCCAAGGTGAATGATAAATGAGACTTGAGCACTCTCCAGAATGGCATGTAGTAAACAGGGAGCTTTTTCATAGTCCCAATGTCATAAAACCTTTACCATCCAGTTGCCTGTATTGTATTTCTCTGCATATGTTGATGCAACAATTCTATTTCTCCAGGCTCAGTGAACTTAATATAACATACTCACAACCACTGAAGCCCTTGAGAAACAGGAAGCACAGGCAAATCTGGTTCATTTTCTTGAAAATTTATCAGCCAAAGAGAAGCACTTTGCTTTCTTGGTTCTTCCTGGCTTTTGTGACTACAAGCTGAGAAATACCTTGGCTGTTTCAGAGGTTTCAAAATGTTCAGGCAGAGACAAATTGGCACCAAAGAAAAGCAGCATTTTTATGCTACACAAACTAATATTTTTGTCATAGTCTCCCATCAACTCTTTCTTTACAAGGAAGAGGTATTCTAAAAAGCCCTTATTGTAAACAACTCCTTACAGAGGAGAGCTTAACTTGCCTTTACCATACATACAATAGTGAGGTCCTTCATCCCATCAGACATCAATATGCTGTTAACTGACTCCGCTTTTCTTCCCCAATAACGTAAAACCCTTTTGTCTATTTCAGCTCAATGTATACAGAAAGGCAGAGGATGAGTGCGGCAGAAGGATTAAATTTCCATCATCTTCAAAACAGAGGTTTTTGTTAAAATAACCCCCTTTTCTTCTGCAGGGCAGAGAGTTGCTCACTGACCCATTGCAGGACAGCTGAAGAAACTCGCCCATGTCAGATGTCCGTAGATCCTGGCAGAAGGAGCCTCTGGCCATGAGGCTTCATCATCTTGCACACACTGTCCTCCCATGGAGGCAGTTCCCATGCTTGCACGTGTCCCAAGCAACATGGAGATGAGGATGAAAGAAGCATACCCACAAGAATGAAACAATGTGACCTCAATGAAAGACTTGGGACTGTCCCTCTGATGGGGAGGATATCATGGTTAGCAGATCCAAATGGAACTAAAATTACTGGTCATTAATCTAGCTAGGAAATGGCTAGGATAGGGAGATGAGTTGCAAGATGGTAGTCTGGGGTCTGTCCTAAAACAGAGGCAGACAGCTCTTTGATTTGAGTAGGAGAAGGGAGGCAGAGGACATCCATTAAAGCTGACACCGATTGTTAAAGAACTCACAAGTGTGTTCTCTGCTCCCTTTTGCCCTTTTGAAAAGTTAAAGCCAGGAGTGAGCAGATAATGATATCATCCCTTATGACCTGAAAGCAAAACAACCTCTCTTCATTCAGCACCAGGGCAGGACGAGCAGCAGGAGGATTATGCAGGTTCCCAGGCAGTACAGTGATGCCAGTTCCAGGATGAAACCTTATCCCTAAAAGTGTGTCACTCCCCAAATTCTGTTATCAGTGATTACTTCCAAAAGCTGGCAACAAATGTTCACTAGGTCTATTAAAAGATTAAAATATCTCACAACCCTTGTTAATGCAATATATGTACAATGGCCAGTGAGCTTCTGGTTTAATTCTTTCATATTCCTCCTCACAACCTTCATTTTCCATGTTTATTTCCTGTAACATATAGGACTATATCACCACATAATGTTCTTCCAGGTAATATGTAACACAAAGCATTTAATGCCAATAAAAATACATTTGCATGCTCATACTAAAGGACTGAATGAGTGTTATATATAGGGAATTCTTCAGCCTTGAAGAACAATTTGCTCTAGACTGGAAAAATGTAGCAATTTAACATCATGCAACTAAATTAGACAGTAAATCTAGGCAGAAAAAAAGTGAGCAACATTTTTTTCCATTGAAAACACAGGTAGCAAAGGCAAAGAATGTTCATTCGGAGTTTAGCAAGAATATGATCCTTAATTCTTATTCTTGTATGTATGCTTTTAGCAATCAAAAGGCACAAGTAATTAGGATGCTTCTTTTTCCTGTTACAGATGGACCCTCCAGGAGCAGAGAATCCCTTCACCACTCTGCCTGGGAAACAGAACCAGTCACCAACTGACTCAATAAAATAGCACACTCAAGGAAAAGGAAAAATTATTTCCAGCCACAAGCAAAGTCCTCCTTTAATGTATGGTCTAATTTCATTTTTTTTAATTATCATTTTATGTGATTTAAATTTATGACTGTCAAAATCTAAGAAGACAAGTGCCCAGATGGCTTGGTTGCAGGTGAAAATCAAGTCATATTTTATTTAGGGTTTTGTGTGGGGTTGCAAAAAGGAAATTCTCAAAGCCATAAGGATACTTAGATTAATTCAGATAGGCTCAAATGCTTTTATCATTTACATTTCCCATGAATCTGAAGATTATACAGTTATTTATATCAGTGTAAAGCAAACCCATCATAACCTGGGATCAGATCCAGAGCCCGTCAGTTGAACCTCTTTAAAAGTAAGATAAAAGCAAGCAAGGAGAATGAATAAAATACTTACAAGCAGGAATATATGGGGATGAAAGCCAAGTGTCCAACGCACAGGATGTGATTAGTTATCACGCCCAAATCTAAAAGGACTGCATACTGAGAAAAGCCCCTATAAAAAAGCACATCAAAGTTGAAAAATTTAGTAATAACGACATTGAGAAATAAAACAGGGAGGAAAAGTGCTGAATTTTGACTACTCTCTATGCCAAAAGTTTCAGAAAAAAACAAAATGACTGGAATCCTGGCTTCTGTTTTATTTCTGCTAGACACATCCTTCTTCTGTCCAGTTACAGCACTGCACATATAACATCAAAACCGTGATCCTGATCTCTGCTCTACAGCCATGCTCTGGTACAACACCTGCCTCCTCTTCTTTTGCAGAGTGCTCCAGGACCAAGACAGCCTGTTGTCCCTGACACCTCTTTAAGCACCATAGCACTGTATCTGCAGTCCAATCCATTTCACCTTATCCCCTAAAGACTCCTACTGGGAATCAGTCTTTCTGGATTACACACTACTATTTATTTATTCTCTTTATTTCAAACAATCTGCAGTTCAAGTTCACTTACCTGAAATCCCCAAACTGAATACTGTATACACACAAGGATAGCTAGCAGAATTTTGTGTGCTACATTCATTCAATATCTAAAATAAAATGTGGCCCCTGAACTGTTTTTAATAAAACAAATTAAATTGTTTGTATATGAAGAAACAATCCCAGATGATGCAGATTAAAGCAAAAGTAGGGCCACTTTCAGAAAGATCCTCCCCTCTGGGAAAGAAAAGAAGCTTGCACAATCATTACACATCTCAGAGCTCTACCCTTTCAGCACATTTGGTTTGAAGTGCACTAGAGAAGCAGACCTCTGGGGATGAAAGTTAATGCATTGTTGTATTGCTTTCATCCCTTCACTGAATCACTTATGGTTTAAGCCTGTCCAAGTTCAATAAAGAAAATTATCTAATGCAGCTGTTAAGTCAGCATTGTTGAAATCCAAATGTTATAACATTGAGTATACTACTGTTCCACTCAAAGGGAGTTAGACAGCTTCCTGATCACTCCCCCATGCAGAAGGAGAGGTGGGGGGGCTGCAGGTGAACCCAAAGTCAGATTACCCAGGGATGGACGCAGCACGTCCTCTGGATGCGAGGGCATGCACCCTGTCACCCTGCCCAGAAGCACACAGGCTGAGGCAGGCAGTGATACTGGGATGGAGAGGGGAATGCAACAGGCCCCAGGTACCTTTTCTCTGGCAGATCTGTCTCATGTAACAAACAGCTCAATCCTATGTCCCTCAGTTTTGTCTGCTTGTAGCAGAGACCCTTTCCCTTCTCTTTATTTCTTTCAGAACAGCTCTCTGGGAGAAAGAGGCACGGATCTCTGCAACAGGGACTGTATCTTCAAACAAGGCAAACAGAAAATATTTTGCTTCTTTTTCCAGCTCTCTTTTGTCTCTGCAGAATCTTCTTTATTCCTTTCCCTCCTAACACACAGAGCACTGCTCTTGCCCACTTAGCCCTTCATTCAATACAACAGCCCAATCCCCAGCAAGTCGAAGGGAACAGAGCCCACCAAATCTTGAGCTGATTAAACACGCTGGTGATGCAGTGCAAAACACAATACATCCTCAGGACTCTTTAAATGCATGTATTCATATTCAAATGGCAAGCACACACAGTGAGATGGTGAGGTCTGAACTTTTAATTACCTTTGAAGAACACAGAAATATTTGGACTAGAACATCAAGAAGATTAGCTACAGAAGACCCCTTGGCACACATATTTCTATCCCCCAGTCCTTCATCCCTCTTGCACCAGTCTAACGCTCTTCACAGCTATTTTCATGGTCTCAGCTGCAGCGCTAGCCCACAGCTGAGGCTTGTGCTGACTACATTCTGGCACAGCAGGATTTGGCCTCAACACTGTATTCACTCTCATCGCCAATAAGATATATGGGGAGCAGGGACTTTTCTGTTCCTACTTTTGTCTCAGGATATGAATGGGGAAAAGAGTCTCACTGATTTACACATTTAGGACCTCAGATGGAGTAATGGGACACTCCTGGTCGTGCCTTTCATGGGAGTGTGAGCCTGCATCTCAGTCACTGAGGAAACTGGTCTCCTTCCTGTGCTAGTTTGCTAAAAATATTTATTTCACACTTTTGTTGAAAATTTCCTGTGAAAAAATACAGGTTGCTGAAAAAAACCCACCCTAAAACTCAAAAGCCCACTCTCTGTTGTCCATAATGACAGGTCATATTTGATTTCTTTCTGTCCAGTCCCAGAATTATTCCTTTTATTCCCACTCCGAATAACTTTTGTTCCTGCTGGCCACTCTCAGCCAAATTCAACCCCAGGCAGACACCTCAATGACAGTTGTGCTCCTAAAGTTTAATGACAGCAGATGATCAGGAAGAGGGGACACAAAGTTTCACACACCATTTGGTTCCCCCTAATAGCTTTGGATCTCAGTAATTGACTTCTACAGCCAAAACAGCTGCTAAGATGTCACTGTCAAAGTAACAGACCACAGATGCCCAGCAGGAAAGGAGGTCCAGGGCAAGGCTAGCCAGGGAAGAGGGAGAAACCACTGAGTATCAGGATTCCTTCATTTCTGTGTTTTGTGGAACAATGTCTCATTTGATTTCTTGCAACCCCAGATTTTAAAGTTTTGTTTGAATAGGAAATTTAGTGTAGGGTGGAACGGCTGTTTAACTACAGATTTCCTTTTTGCACAGGGCAAAAAGAAAGGAAGGTAAAGAGAAAAATTCAGTTAAAGCCCATTTTCCTCAGTAGAATAAGTACATGAAAATAGTTCAGCCACTTCTGTCTTGCCATGTCTTTTCATGGTTAAGTCACCATAGTCCTGCTACCCATCCTTGCCAAGGCTGAGAGGGGCTGCCTGGAGCATGCCACTGACACTGATAAGGCTCTGAGAAGATGCCTCCCAGCACACACACGGGGGGGGGGTGGGGGGGGTGGTGGTGATGCAATTAATCTCAGAACAAACAACAGTTAATTAAGCTTTGTTAGCTTGTGCCTGACTCTTAGCATGGGCTCCCAGTAACCACCTTTTGTATTCAATCAAGCAGACCAGCACTGGGCTCCACACTTGGGGTCAAATGAACACTGCAGTGGAGGGCTGTGTGCTGTGTCTGCCCTTTCTGAAGCTGCACGGACTTCTCATAGGGCAGTACTCCAGCTTCTCCACATCCTTTTCTCAGAGCAAAATCTACCAGATAAAATATCAAGCCCCAGGGCAAGCAGTCCTTGTTATCAGAGCTTGCTTTCCTTCTCCATCACACCCACAAGTGAAGCTAACAATTTGCAGGGTTCAGACCCTCAGGTTCAGCATCCCTTCAGGTAAAGGGGAAAAACCATCAGAAATATCAGTCAGAGACCCCTTCACCTATCAGGAATACAGTTCTAGGACAAAATGTAGCTAAATCTGGAAGTGAATAGATTTAAGGTCGCTATTGTCCCCTTCAGTGCTATGGCACAGTGTCCTTCCCAATGCCAGATGAGGTGGCTGTACACAAGAGCATAGCTGAGAGTCTTTGTCGCTCAGAATGTCCAACAGCACATCCACCCCATTTCGGGAGCCCTCCCTGCAGATATCAGCAAGGGGCTCTGCTGAACAGTAAGTGGCCCTTAACTTTGCTAGTCAGTAGGGTTATTAGTCCTTAACTAATGAAAGTTGTGACCCAGTAAGTAGAACCCAGAGTAATAAGAAAACACTTTCCTATAATAAAATTTAGCTGAAACACTGGCTTCAATGTATTTTATAGAAATAAAGTATACGGTCCATATCAAACCCAAAAACGTCAAGCAGATTTCATGTTAACCTCCTCAGAAATCCTGACACAACATAAAGCCAGGACGGAATTTTGTGCACTTGGTTCTGTTAATGCATCATCATGTTTCAGAAACCAAAAAAGCAGATGCAGTACTAGCTGTGTACCATGAACTTAAATGTCAAAGGAATTTTACGCAAAGATGTGCTATCACAGTAACTCCACTTGCTGTAACTCTGCTTCCCAACTCAGGTGCCTCAGCCTGCTTTACCAAGACAGACATAGGAAAACCTTCAATTCTCTTTCCTCTCAATGGTATAACAGAAAAGCTCTCCATCCTCACACCATCCCTTATTTTACAATGCAGGTTGCATGCTCACCTTTGACAAAGAAACTGGCATTATCATATATGTATTTGTGTGCATAATATTGTCATACTGTCACCGTTTGCAAAACAGTCTGCAATGACTTTATGCAAAGGGACAACACTCTTGCAAAGGGAATTGCAGTGTAACGCTGTAATATGTAAGCATAAGGGGGCAGGGTTGCACCTGAAATGCCAAAAAGAGCAAGTGAGGATAATGTAGACATGGAAGGAGAGCTTCTGCTGATGCTAGGTAATATTTTGTGTAACACTGCCTCTCAGGTGTCCTTGCTTTAGAAGACATTATTGTGCTCATAGCCAGTCAGAGCTAGACTAACTCCAGCGACAGGGATTGTGGCAGCACAGGCGAGGGCTGGTCTCAGCACCTCACCAGACAGCTGCTGAAGGCATCACAGCAAAAGCAAATGTGCTGGGCTATATCACGGAAATTAATGAAATGATGGACAGGGTACCTCTATGAAGCTACAAGATGAAGCTCGGCAAAAGCTATAACCTTTGTGTTGAGGGAGACAGATGCTGAGAGCACGGGCTGATCAAAGCCCAGGGGTATGTCTTGGTAAAGCAGGAGAGGTGGTACATGACATATGGGGAGGCTATGGAGGACACTTGAAAGTGAAGCCTATGACTGACATGTCCGACTCAGGGGAGAAGGGGGAGCAGCAGAAGTGGGGAAATGCAGGCTAAAAGGTGGGTTTTTGCAGCAGCGCCATGGATCGACTATGCCGTAACAGGATTTCCTTTGTACAAACCAGGAAAAGGAGGTAACCGCGATCATGAAGACACAAGGGGAGGAGTGCTTGCAAGAGAGTAGAGGTAGAGGTGAAAATGTCTTGACTTTCTAGTATTTAAATTCCAAGTCTCAAGCCTATCAGAAACATCAGATTTTTCAGTAACTCCTGGATGTACTCTATCATTGAGCTAATTCCTCTTTTGCTTTTGCATAGATGGGGCTGGGAGGAAAACTGCACTGCTTCCTGCCTCGGATGGGGAATTTACAGAATACAATTTATGATTTGTGCTGCACCCATAAGACCCAGTTATGAACCAAGATACTTGGCAGACACAAGCTATCCCAGTCAGCCTTTTACATCTGAAAAGGTTAACAAAATGCAAGCAGCAATAGTTTCCTAAACAAAATATATTCATATACATACACCCACCTACTTGGTGATAGTACTAGAGTAGACTTGGATGCTGAAATAACCCAGGAGCCCTTCCCCTCATTTGAAGGTTCTAAAGCATTTCTCTCCTGTTAATAGCAATGCACACATACTGGATACAGCAAGCAGCAGTCTGCAAGCAGGCAAGCCTGCACATCAGAGCAGTGGAAAGCCAGGGAAACATGAGGGAGGAGGGGGTGACATTCTTAACTCTCCTTCAACCACTTCAGGTGATATGGATAACCCAGCCTGAGGATGAGGTGGGGAAGAAAGGCAGCCAGTACGCAGCTACAAGCATCTGCAACCACCCCTAAGGAGGAAAAGCCCTTTTAGGCTTTAGAGCAGGGAGAAGGAGGCTGGTGGTTTCAGACTATCCTTTGTTTCTGTCTGTTCAGGCACAAAAACATCAGAACGGGGCAAAATGACTGTAAAACACAAATCACAAGGGAACAGACAACAGCCCTCCACCTGGATGATTTACCAGAATAAAACTACCAGCACTACATGCATCCTTACATGGTCCAGATTTTATAAATTTCTTCTATTTATCTTTCTCCCATTCTGCTATAATCACCTGAGAATTCAATAATACCCCGTGTGCATTCCTAATTGTCTTTGCTTACATAAATGTTAATCAGTGTGGCAAATGCTCAGCCCTTTACCACTATTTTCACAAATTCCCTCTAATTGTTTAGCATTTGCAAGCGTAAGAAGAGTTTGCTTCACTTGCTTTCTGTCCCAAACTTTATTACCTATACTAAGAGCTGTAACAGCCTACAGCTTTTCGCTAGACACAGAGTTTGGAAAGGGCACGTTTTCGTGCATCCGCCCTGTTTTATTTTTCTACGTTGTGCTAAGTTCAGCTCTTCTCCGAGTACACTGTATGGGCATTTACAATTTATTTGCAGAGGGAGCAGTTCCTTTCCGGTCATCTTCCCCCAAACAATGTGAGCGAGCCCACGGCTGGCAATCTATGCTTATACCCATAGAGTCAGAAATGTACTTGCAGAGTGACGACCCAACGGTCTGCAACACCAAACCCCCAGTCTGCAGCATCCTTCACACATGGAAATCAATCCATGCCTCCCTTCTCTCGGCATCCCTCCCGCCAGAAGCAGAGCACCCCAGCCGTTGTCCCTATGCTCTCCCCTCTCTGCCTCCAGCACAAGCATTTTCTCCGAAACGAGGAAGCGTTCAATTCCATTCAAGCACTCTGACGACCCACGAAGCCAGTAAGGACAAAGGTTCTTTGCAAAAAGCATTTGGGAAGAGGCAAACACAGGCCTAACACACACCTAGGTTAAGGGCATGTGAAAACCCAACGAATGCCCTTGGTCACACAGGGGACCGAGCACGGGGGGGAACCCCGCAGCAGTAGCAGCCGGTGAGGCACGGAGGGCAGGCGCTGCCCTCGGTAAGGCACCGCTCGCACCGGGCACCGAGCGGAACCGGTGTCGGCGCTGTACAAAGAGCAACGATCAACAATTCTCAGCTGTCCGGCTCATCGAGGCTCGACCGGACGAAGCTCATCGAGATTTCGGCAGGGGGAAGAAACAGCACCCAAGCCCGAAGTGCCGACCGCCTTTAAAAAAAGGGACGGCCAGACCGCTCCGGAACGCTTCGGCTTAAGCGGCACCGGCAGCGCGGCACCCTCCTGCCCGCAGACACCCCGCGCTCCGCTCACCGCGCCCTGCTCCGGCTGCGGCTGCAGCTCCGGCTCCAGCTCCTTCTCCCGTTCCCGCTACCCGGCTCCGGCTCCCCTCCCGCCGCTGTCCCGCGCGGCCCAAACGGGAGCACCGCCCACTGCCCTCCCCTCTCCCGTCCCCGCCACCGCCCGTCGGCCCCGAACCCTGCCACGGGGCTGCAGCGGCTGTGCGCGGGGGGCGGCACACACACTGCCGGCCCTGCGGGCGAGTCCGGGCAGGGAGGTTCGCTCGTCCGCAGAGGAGCGAAATCCCTCCGCCTCGCTGGGATTGCGAGGATAGAAGTCACCGGGATTTACCGGGCATCCTACAAACCCGCACAGGCACCCGGCTCTTGCCGCCCCACGGCTGTCCCATACCGGTGAACGGTGTCGCTCCACAGCTCCCCAGGCTGGTCCATTTCCAAAGAGAGAGCATACGGAGCCTACATGTAGCTGGGCAGAGCAGCCCGTGGGAAATGGAGGATCCTTTGCTGTAGAGAGTCTGTGGGGGCGCAACCCGGAGCTGGGCACAATAAAGGAGTGGGTTGGAAAAGCAACCTCTCTGGGACGTGGAAACTTGTAGGTGTCCTTCTGAAAACTCTTTCAAGTTTTCAGGACAGCTGCTGAGGCTCTTGAGGATACTTTGACATCGTTTACCCGGGAGTGAATTAATGGTCATGCCAAGACCAACTGAGATAATGCCTATAAAGCAGTGCAAATGAGAACATAATCTGGCTTCACTAGTTCATTTGGAGAGTTACTTACAGCTATCACATACTCTGGAATCAAATAATGGGAAAACGTTGGCTGTCTTGGACACATTTCCTTCCCAAGACACTGTGGAAGGAAA